TATCATGATGTATTACCAGGGTCACGTGACTACCACTGTCGTAACAATATGATATACGTTTCTTGTTACACACCTTTCTGGGTTATCAAGGAATGTAAATAAAGAAATGTTCTTTTATTTTTTTCTGATGTTCACACAGTGTCAAATATCGTAGTCCTTTTCTTTGTACAATGTACTAGGCTTCACTTGCTTAACAATTTAGTTCATCGTTTTAGATAAATTACGGCTGAAATATCAGAAACTTCGCTTGGGGAGCTGGACTCGCTATTCTTTCAGCGTGGTAACGTTACAGTATGACGGCCATTCCAACTATTCGTTGGTGAAGAGTAGCCCGGGAATTGGCAGTGGATGGTGTTGACTAGCTGTCTTCAAATCGAATCCAATTCGTGGCATTACTTGTTACTTTAAATATTTCAGGCTTCTTCGAGGTTGAGACTTACTAGCAGAGTGTTAAGGTTATTAAGAAGTGGTTTGTTAAATGCTTAGCTTGATTAGAGTGTGCAGAGAGCGTGGCCAATAAATAAATCCCCTTAAGACGTCTACTGCCTCACTCTTATATTACTTATAAATTAGGGACAGCTAACGCAGATAAGCCTCGAGTAGCTTTGCTCAAAATTCAACAACAAACAACACAGCCTTTTGTTGGATAAATTAGGGGTAAATTATAAGGATAAATTAGTAGTAAAATAAAAGGAGTTGATTAAAGAAGCATATTAAATGATTATGTGAAATCTTAGTTAACAGCAGGTCAGTTCGTTGTTGCTTGAGTTACTAATATGTTGACTACCATATGTTTACGCATTTTAAGAACAAAACATTCAAATTTCTTGAGTTGTCACTCGTGTTTCTTTATTGCATTGCAAATAACCGGATGCGAACTGTGTTGACTTTATTTTTTGAGCCAGTCACACATTGTCACGAATCGTATACCTTATTGGTATTTCTAGATCTTCACATGAGGAGTTCTTTTGAGTTTTAAATAACAGAGTTTCTGTGTAGATCTGTCATGTGAAGATGTTATAGGTATTGAAGTCTGGCTTCATTTTATTTCTTAGCGAGATCGACCAGTTGACGTGGTTAACAATGCACTCTGGGAGTATCAGCCATATTCCAGTTTGAATATTATTCACATTCTGTTAACACTTAAAACACCTACTAAAATATTAACTTAATGTTTAATATTTTTTCTTGTGTCCTAAATAAACAGAATTCGTTATTCGATTGCCAAATTATGTTGTTCAGTCTCTTTTTTTTAATTCAGTCGAGGTTAAAATATCAGAAGTCTAAGCATATCTCTGCCAAAGATTTTTGTGAGAGTGGTTACTTTGTTACGACAACAGAAGTCGCGTGACGCTGGGAGCATGAGCGCTAAAATTTCTGGAAGGATCATGAATTATCGGGAAGGCCCGAGTTTGTTCGATGCGCCCTCGTTCTTATTGTATAAGCCTGGCAAGAAAAACCAGCGCAATGGCATAGATAGATAGATTGAAG